AATGCTGCAGCAAAGAAATATTTTTGGTCTTTTGTCTTGTGTGTGGCCTCATTGCTGGAAGGTTACACCACAGCCAGCCAATGTACCCAAGGAACCTGCTGGAGAAGCTGCCCCCATGCCATGAGTCATACAGTGAAGCACTGCACACTTTCCCTGACCAGACGCAAGCACATTCATCTTTTCTCTTGCTCTTTCTCTCCCACCACTTGTTTTGTGATGCCAACAAAGTAAACTCATTTTTAAAAAAAGTGAGAATCTGCCCTTCACTGTGAGGCTTTGCTGCAACCTGTGGAGCCTTCGCAGAGACCTGACCATTGTTTCACCTCTGGCTGCCTCCTGTCCTTTCTTTGCAGCAGACAGAGCTGACAGGAGCAGACCTGCCTCCACTGAACCGGCTGCCACCTCCACTGTCAGCACTGAGTCAGCGCTTCTGCCATTCTCCAGCTGCCCCGGCAGCAGCTGGGTTATTTCCAGGACACTGGAGTTACTGCCCTTAATACATGGAGCTGCCACTCGGGGAATGCTGTCCCTGGGAGAGCTCTCTGTAGTCAGAAGAAAGAGTTTAAGCATCAAGAGGGCAGGGAAAGGCATAGTGGTTTTCTACCCAGGGGATTTTTGTGAGGCACTCCTGAGCAGAGTGCAGCAGCCTGGGAGCTGCTTTCTGTGAGCTTTCAAGGGAGGAGCTCGCTCGAGGAGGATCAGGGGATGGGGACACTGTCACAACACACACTGTCCCCCAAACAAGCCAACCCAGCAAGCATTAAGGTGAGATCCATCTGGGCTCATCCTCCATGCAGAGCTGAATCTCACCTGCTTGGTCACTCCTTCCAAGTCACACATCTCATCATAAAGCAGTAAGAAAGAGAAAATGTTTTTGTTTGTTTCCCTTTGTCCTTTATTCTTCTTAATAATGACTGCTACAACAGCTAGCTGAAATGCTGAGGAGCAGCTGCAATATCAGAAATTATTTTTACCTCATTATTGAAAATTATCCTTTTTAAAGGGAGAGAGGCAGAATGGAGATTAGAGGTTCTAGTGCTTCGTCAGGGTTACTTAGTACCTGTGGATCATTACATTGATAAAAATATGCACAGACTCACTTTTCAGGTTCAAAAGTGTTTTGTCCTTTTGTTTGCTTAGCTAAATAAAGAGGGTTTGTTTGACCTGTGATTTTGAATCCAGCTGGCTTTTTAATGTACAGTGACTCATACAAAGCAGCCTGCAGAGTCAGTCTCTTTTCCACTGTTTTACTGTGGATTTAGACAGAAGCCCCACAGAAAATCAAGCAGTGTGTGGGGCTTTCAGCCCCTACAGGCTCCCAACCAGGTCTTCCTCACCGGAGCTGTGCTCTTCATTCTGTAATTGCTCCTGCTGAAACAGGGAGCTCATCAAAGTGGGAGGCACTTCAAGCAAGCCAAATAATTGGGATTTGGTCTTGCAAGGCATTGCAAGTCCAGTATGATCTTCAAGGTTGGTAATGAACCATTAGTTTCTAATGAAGATTGGAGCTGAGGCTCGTCTCAAAATGGTAACTTTTTAGTAATGAGATACTGCCATTATCTTGGCTGAAGTGCAATAGAACATCACTGGTTTCAGTGGGAACAGGCTGGGAGCTCTTTAGACCATGCCTGTCATTATTGTACCTAGACCAGAATAAGGCAAAGCTTTTTTAAGAGTGATAAAGCAGGAAATCTCATTTACATTTCTAGAACAGAGTACAAAGAATGCTCCACTACCAAACGTTGGGTCTCATGTTGGCACTTCACTCAGTGTGTTTTCTCTCCTTGTAGACTGCACCATTGACATGAGAACATAAAAAGCTTTGAGCCCATGGGCCTGCAGGGACAAGGAAATAATAATTGCAATTGCCATTGCAGCCCCAGTCTCTATGCAGGCAAAGTTGCCCATGGACTTTTGGAAATAGCAGATCAGACACAGTCCTCTGTGAGCAGACATATGGACTGGCTTCCATTGGGGATATGGGGGGTCACAGCCCTCCCCTGCACAGTGACTGGAGATGGGGCTCCAGGAATTTCTATCTCCCCAAATAGTTTCATTATCAAGGTTAAAGTGCCAGCATCTGATAACAGGAGGAGTTTGTGGGTCCAGACACTGCAAATGTAACATCATTTTCTCAAATAAATGTCTGCTATTTCAAGAAAAAGCTCAGAAGGAGAAATACAGGTGTCATGCTATACACAACCCCTGGACTTCCTCCATCACCTGAAATGGGATGTTGTTTGGGGACAGAAGAGATTAGGTAGCCTCCTTTATGTTATTCCACTCAGGTGTTCCTGCAGATGTGGATTCACTTGGAAAATTAAAGCTGTATTTTACTGCAAGTGGGTTAATATCAACTCCACTGTCAGGGCTAACCAAAATGTATCTAAATACTCTCTCCTCTTTTACCTTAGTTTTTCCTAGAAATTATGAGTCAGCACATCTTTCTGAATGTGATATATAGAAAAAATATCTGTAATGTCTCAGGAAATGAATATCTAAGATCACTGTAATCTGAACTTTCTACCTGGAAGAGAAGAATGCTTGGGGAAACACTTAGAAAGTGTCACATTTTTAACAGGAGGGATTCAGCTTTATTTTTTAGACACGGTGAATCATTGGGGAGAGTGATAACTGAAAATGTGATCATATAACAGAAAAAAAGGAACAAAATCTCATTTAAAGCAACATGAACAAAAATTAGAAGAGTAACTCACCTAAGTTACTTACGCTCCTTGACTAAGTGGTTTATTACTCAAGTAGGATTCTATTCAGTTAAGTTCTTTATCTAATTTTTATACAGAATGTCACTGTGCAATGAATTCATGGTGAAAATACCCCCATGCCAGACAGGGTTAAAGGAGGGAGGTTGCATTAGAGGTGCCCTGTGGCAGATTGTGCCCCCCTAAGGACTAAAAGTAAGGATAAGTTTTTCCTAGGGGTTTTAGAGCCAATGCTGGTTTTCAGAGCCTGTACAAGGCTCCCAGAAGCCTGCTCAGGTCCTGCACAACAACTCACACCTGGGTGCAGGGTCAGTGCCAGGGTGTGAAGATCTGCACTCAGCAACCCTCTTCCATGGTTTTGTTCCAGTCAAAGTTCCAGACAAAGATTTACGAGGCTAAAGTGTAGTAGGTGGCACAAATGTAGTTTTAACAGAAAGCTTTGCCACATTTCACCTGTCTGAGACACTCACTGGTCTTTTCCCTCAGCAGTTCCTGTTGTGGGTGTTGCAGCACCTTTGGCTGAGTCTCTGCAGGGTGAGCTCAGAGCACAGGGAGGATGCTCCAGCCAGCAGCTTGGTCCCTGGCTTTGCAAGGGGAAAGGAGCTTGAGCACTCTGTGTGCCACCCAGCCACAGGCCTCTTTTATTTGCTGGCTTACACATAGCATATGAGATGTGGCCTTAAAAAGGGATAAAAACATCTTTTTTTACCAGCAACTTGAGAGGTGCTAATTTGAGCAGTATTTTGACCTGTAACAAAATCTAGTTTTAATTATATTTGTAACACCTCTGCAACAGTTCCCTGAAGAACTGCATGCCTGAAGGTAGTCATCAATTACAATGTCAGATTTGTGATTATTAGAACTGATAAAAATAGTGGAACTAGCAGCCTGGAATACCAATTTTTCTTTTAAATGAAATATCTTTGTGTTATCAGTGAAATGATGCTGGGTTTCATAATACTTGCACATAATACAGCATTACTGATTCACAGTAATGGCTGTGAGGAGCCTTGTGGACCCAACTGCTCCAGCAGGCATAAGTTTGATCCATTGCCAGTCATAAACTGGGAAAAGCACTAGTCCAAACTTCATATATGGTACCACACATATAAAAGGAATCTGTTTCAGCCCTAAAATACAAACAGAAACATAGTGATAAACGATAACATAACCAAGATGTAAGTGTAGCATAATTATAAGTAAATGAACAGCAAGAGTACTCCTGAAATCTGCTGCACGTGCTGTTGATCTGAATAAATCAGTCACTGCTGGATTTGAACCTGAGTGAAAGAGTGTTCCAAACTCTGAACAACATTGACCTCTGAAGCCACTAAGCCATGGGATTGTCACAAGACTGTACAGTGCTCTGAGACAGCCAGACAGCAAAGATGCACTTAAATGATTTTTCTACAGTATCCAGTCCAAGAACAAGGAGGCAGAGAAATAATTCGGATTCCCCTCAGAACTGTGGATGATAAGGAAAGCCCACATATTGTGGCATTTTACAGGCTTTTAAGAAAGAATACTGTGCCTTTTTTTCCCTTTTGCTTTTTTCCCTTTTAGCATTAGACTATAATAGGAAAAAAGAGCCCAGTTTAGAAAATGCTCTTCCCCACAGTCTAATAATTTTTAAATGGGTCATTATTGTAAAGGGCTAATTTATAACTTGAAAATTAAAGCTCCTGGGAAGCTGGTGAATAACTGTAACAAGCAGCCTATTTGACTAGGCTATTTGTTTCCTTGGCTGTTGGAAGAAAAAAAAAATAGTTTGTGCTCTTTGTTACTCTTTACCAGACTAAAGAAGAGAACAAACAAACAAGCAGGAAGGTGCCTTTCTTGGTCCAGTATTTCATCTCCATAGTGAATGATGATCTCTTTAGGCAGAATTACATGGGGAGCCTTCAAAAGCAAACAAAGGGACTTTGCTCAACCGGCAAATTTTCCATCTCTCTTCTTTCTAAATGCATCTAAACACACAGGTTATATTACATTTTAAATATTTTTATTTGTATACAAAATGTTATAATTTATCAGTGTTGTGCAGCAAAGTCTAGATAGACACACACATCACATACATCCATCCCCACCCCCTTCCCTCCCCCAGCACACACACTTAGAAACACGACACGAACACAACTTTCTTTCCCTCTGCCCTTCAGAAAGGCAACACTGTTTTGGCAGGTCAGCAGCTAGAAATAAGGTGCTATAGTCAAGCAGTACCGGAATGTCTTCACTTTACAAATGTGATGTGCAAATCTATATACAACCACATTGTTGTTTTTTTTTTTTTTTTCCAGGGAACCCAAAACTCCATACCCCGAACCACTCTCTGAGATACAAACATGTATAAAGTGCTAATACTTAAGCATGTTTCCAACGACTTCACGACGTAGTTTGAAGTTTAGAACAGGCACTGTAATAGTTCACTGGGTAGATTGTCACTGGGTGCAGCTTGACAGAGAAAAGTCACTCAGACATCGCTGGGGGACCGGGAGCGAAAGGACACTTTAGCCTGAAAGCAACCACAGAAGAGCACCCACATGGACCTCTGGATTTCCTGGTTTCTGTAGGCATAAATGATGGGGTTGATCATGGAGTTGTAGGTAGCAGGCAGGAGCGTGGCGTACGTGTACACAGAGGGGTAGTCAGGATCCCCCACCACACAGTAGATGGCAAAAGGCAGCCAGCTGGCTCCGAAAGTCCCAAGGATGATAGCCAGGGTAGAGACTCCTTTTTTGGTGGTGACATAGTGCGAGGCAGTCAGAAAGTGCTGCTGGAGAGCTATCTGGTGGGCATGCCTGCAGACGATCTTGCAGATCTCGATGTAGAGATGGAGCATGATGAGGAAAATGAGAAAGAAAGAGGCAGACAGCAGCGTCACGTTACTCTTGGTCAAGGGTCTGACGACGCTGCAGGAGGTGCGGTCGTGGAGGCAGTTCCAGCCCAGGACGGGCAGCAGCCCCAGGCACAGGGAGACCCCCCAGGCACCGGCCAGCATGGTGTGGATGCAGAGCACCGTCCTCTCCGAGTAGTAGGTGAGGGCATTGTAGAGGGAGAGGTAGCGATCGACCGTGATGGCCAGCAAGCTACTCACGGAGGCGGCGAAGGAGGCGACGAGGAAGCCGACCGTCAGCAGGCTGACCGTCTCCGAGGGAATCACGTACTGGAAAACGAAGTTGAGGATGAGGCCGAGGCCGGCCAGCAGGTCAGCCGTGGCCAGGCTGCCCACCAGCACGAACATGGGGGTGCGCAGGGCGGGCGAGTAGCAGATGATGGCAACCACCAGGGCGTTCTCG